GGCCGTGCTCCTCGCACCTGCGACCTTGGAGACATTCCGGACCAGAAACATTCGGAGGTTAAGCAGTAGAAGTGGCAGTAAAAAGACCCGATCCGTCCGGTCTGTGTTAGTGAGAGGTCCTGGAGACCCTGCTGGGCCAGCCGCCGTCTCAGCCCCTGGTTACTGGGGATCGCGCGGCGTTTCCACAGGCGACCAGCCGCAGCGTCAGCAGATTGCTGGGCAAACGTTCCCCAGCGAGCCTCGCGGGGCGATATCCTGTCGGCTTTGACGCGTCTGCGCCGGGCCGCCCCCGAAGCGATGATTCCTCCGTCCTCCGTCCGAGCTCGGCGCTGCTTTTCACAAGAGGGAACCCCGACAGCGCCAGCGCTGGGCTGCCGGCGGACGGGCTGGACGACGGGAGTGTGCTGGGACGAGTTCATGCTGTTCGTCATGGTGGCGGGCGTGGGGGTAGTTGGGGGTCAGGGGAGTCTGGGCAGGCAGGGACTGGCGGGGTGGCGTCCGAGTGTCCGCTCAGGTCTTGGCGTTCCGCGGTAGCTGCAGCTCCTCCATCTTCATGATGAGGAAGGAGACGGGCGGAGACTCCCCGGCCCCCAGCGAGGCCTGGGACCCCTGTGACCTCAGCGACCTCTGGGACACCAGCGACCCACGGTCCTGGTTCTGTCGGCGCAGCTGGCTGGCGCAGGGGCTCGGTTTCTCCCGCAGGGGGCGCTCAGACGCCTGTGTGAGAGAGAGAGACAGATTGAGATCTGATGCAAACAGAGGACCTGTTCTGGAGGTACACCGCAGTGCGCTCCCATGTTTTCTGCACGGAGAAACGCAGTTCTGTCTCCCGCTGGGATTGTAGCCATTTTGTTTTCACGTGGCAGTTGATCGTCCCGTCCAGGAGCTGTGCGGAGCTGTCCGGCCCGTCCAGATGAGCGTTGCCGGGGAAACTGAGCCCCGTGCAGCAGTGAGATTTGATTCCCCGGGATCACATTCCCCCCCCGCCCACCACCACCCTCCGCGGGTTTCTCGTCTGCTGACCTTCTCCGCGGGGTGCGCCCTCTGCAGGGGCGGCAGGGGTCCCGGGGCGGGCGAGCTGGGGTCCGTCCTGCCCCCTCTGTCCACGGGGCCCGGGGTCCAGACCCCCGGGTCCGTCTGGGTGGAGCGGTCCGAGAGCTGCGAGACCCAGCGGGCCGAGTCCATCCCGGGCCCCAGCGACCGGGAGCGGCCCTGGAGGCCCTCGCCGCGCTCCGCGCCCCCGCCCCCGCCCTGGGGGAACACGAAGGCGTCCTCTTCCGAGCCTGGGGGGCAGAGAGGGGCAGCACCGTGACCGGGGGAGACGGGCGCAGTGCACCTGTGCTCATGAAAATCTTCGAATCGGCGCGTTGCTGCCTAACAGAGCCGGACCTGGGGTGCTGTCTGTGTGGAGTTTGCGTGCTCTCCTCGTATTCGCGTGCGTTTCCTCCCGCAGTCCAGAGACATTCTGGCTTCGGGGAAAATTGGTCCTAGCTGTAAGTGTGTGAGACCTCTGGCTTCGCATTCACCCCGGGACATAACCTCTGCTGTCTCATGTCATCAGCTGTTCTCTCCTGATCTAGCTGTTTTCTGTAATCTGCTGTTTTCTGATTCTTGTTGGCACGCAGGGGCGGAGCTGTGGCTCTGTGGCCGAGGACCTGCGCCTCAGC